ACTAATGAATAATAATGACACTTTGAAAAGATACTAATTTACTTATTTGCTTTTACTAATTGAAACAAAACTAAAAGAATTGGTATAGGAATCTTCGACAACAATACCAAAAACTTTTAGTATATAACGTACTGAGAGAAGACAATATACCGTTGAGATCTGCGCTGAAATCAACCTTATAATCGCCAATACCAGAATATCAGAGTATATGACATTCTTTCTTTCACGCATATACGAAAGACAGTACGCCATTGAGTTTAGCGCTTAAGTCAATCTTACTAAGGTTTCAAAAGTATTAACTGTATTTATAAAGATAATCAAGCAGCAATCAAGGCATTGAGGTTCTCTAAATGAAATTTGAACGACTGCTATGATAAGCTGCATCAAATCCCATTAGTGCTCTCTCAACTTGATCACTCCACCTTCAAATACCTTTTTCGCTGGAACATCCTCATCCATTCTCACGACATGACCAACGAAGCCGCTGAATATTAATTCGCTAAATAGTAGGAATGTTGTGATAAGGTTCATACAGCTGGTTAATTCGGAAGCTCTTATTCGGCAGAACTTTGTCTTCGTAGAGAACCAAAGATCTTATAAAGAATAGCACTTCTCTCAGAAAGCTCTGATATATCCTAGCCTAAAAATAGTATTTAGAACCTTATTAGGGTTACAATATGGTTCCATTACTAACAAACAGTTAAGGTTCAGTGTTAATTCGCTTAATTATATGAATGTTGTGATAAAGCTCATAGAGCTCGTGATTCGGAAGTAGTAGACTTCGCCAACTCATAGAGGACCAAACATCTTATGAAGAACTTTTCTCTCGATATATTCTAGGCTAAAAAAAAACATTCAGAACCTTATAAGGGTTACAGTATAGTTCCATAACTAACAGTTAAATTTCTGTGTCAATTGGATAAACTGCCATCGTAACCCAACGTAACATAACCTACAAATATAAAAACTTTTTTTATAAAATTAATGGTTTGGAGTTATGCATTTTTGGGTGTTTATATAAGAACCAATAAAATAATTTTTTAAAAGCCTGATTTTATGTTTAAAAAAATATTACGAATAGCATTTATTTGCAATTAAACAAATTGTAAATTACCATTGATACAACCGCATCGTTAGCATAAAATAATAAACATATATATATTGTATGTAAAATATTGGCACTTTCTCACCTCTTAAATACATTTTTAAATAAAAAATGATAAATTTTTATTTTAAATAAATACAAATTAAATGCAATAAATTCAGTTGAACGTATACTAAAGTAAATATTTTAACACAAACAATGTGAAAATTATGCATGTCCCTATCTACCTACGATACCCGTAATTGTGCACATCTATAGACATATGATTCCGATATTCCGTAATATGAAATCGATTCGCAAATAACACAGTACCGACAAAATCCAATTGCAACAATAACCGAAATGTAATAAAATATCATATTTAATAAAATAAACGAAAAAAAGCCCGTAGAACAAACTGAAATGAATATATTTGTGAGCTTATATTTTACGAGTACTCGTATGCCGTATTTTCACTTCGCCATTGCAGTCATAGATACAAGTCATGGGGATTCACTCGAATAGTTGAGGTCAAACAATGGTAGAACGATAAAAAACATAACATAGAACTGAGTATGTTCACAGCGACAGTAGTACATATATTAAATTTGTATGGAAGGAAAGTCATATGTATGTTGCGGTGCTACTAGCATTCATTTACAGTGCAGCATACTGAAGTTTTATTATCCCAACATATTTTTAAATATTTTGTAATTCCGAATTATAATATATAATAAGCGTGAGTTTATCTATTCTATATACATATAATATGTTCCACAAAAACTTGGGTTCTTTGAGTTAGTTGGAATTATCCACTCTCTAGACGTTCAAACAAACAATCTAGACTTAACACGAAAAGCACGGATAAAGGGATTGCGACATAAATAGCAAAAACTAAGCGGAATATTAATAAAATTGAAACTAAAAAGCGATCCATGAAATAAATAATTATTTCTTATATAAAAGGGTTAGAAATTATAAATGAGTACTGTGACATTATTTGTCAAGTAGTTTTTCTAAAGAAGACGCAGATATATTCTCCTATACTTTTTCACTACTGAGTACCGAATCAGATATCAGTTTACCTAAAGCATGTTTATCCATTCGCACGAGCAAAGTCACTGGATTGTAATACACTTGACTATGTCAATACTTAATATATAAAAGACACAGAAAAATACCTACAGGTCGTGGAGAGCACCCAGCTCTTACATATTATATAAAAAAAATTTTAATAATCAATTAACACACGAATAATACAGAATAATACTATTATAATAAAACGAATTATTATTAAAAATATATTAATTGGGAATTAATACAGAATTGTCAAACTTCGATTTAAAAGTGAAATAAATATTTTATTATAGTAACTATAGAAAGGTCAAGATGCAATAGTTCAATAAAGGCGGGAATGTCATACATATTTGATGTACGACTATAACGATAATGTATAACTTTAATATATACTATTATAATACCAAAATAATGTCAATGTTTTGCTGTAGCTGACTTAGTACATCATTCCATATAGTTCTATACTCATTACTAACACCTACAGAGGACAGTAGTACTTGTAAATAATTTCACTCTAGCATTTTTTTAACGTCCTCTTTTTCTCTTCTCACTGTCGGTCATCGTCCAAACTCTTGAACAATTAAGCAGAACAGGCATAATAAGAGACGTGAAGAGATATGATCACAACTGATATTTTAAAAATTAATTAAAAATTAACACTGAATATTAACTTAACATCCATAAAATTTAACCGACTTTTTCTCTGTGGTTAGGAATCCAATTTTTAATGTTTAAAGATTATATCTTATTCATATGCGTATTGTCATTGGAGAGATTTTATTAGATGTCTATGTTATTGTTAACTGACAGTGTTTCGTCGATTATCAAAAATATTTTCATATTCAATAAAGCGGGTTGGCAATTCTGGCTTATGCCTATGAAACCTAGCACAACTTAATTAAAAATTCCTAATTAAGATCCTAAAGACATGAATATGGAAAAGAAATTTGTTTATCAAGATGATAGTACCTTCAATTTGAAAAAGGTTTTATTAGATACTGTAAAAAAATATTTTATACCACAATAATATCAATTCTCACAAAACACTAGACTATAAAATAACATAGAGCTAGGTATGCTGAATATATTATATTATAGAGACATATAAACATCCATTGTGCCACTGTTGATATCCGAATATATCGAAGCACCTTTGTCCAACTGGTCCAGTATCTCCAGTCAAAAATATGTCCAAGTCAAATTAAGTGCTGACATTTATCTCTACGTTGTGCTAGTTATAAAATACTTCACATTCCATATAAAGTTACAAAGATTGTGATCTCAAAAAAGATTTCTAACTAATTTACGAGAGGCAACTTGAGATCTTTCACTTGATGTGGTTACCTACAACACTTTTGAGATATAACGAAAAATAACAATTTAATAATAGATTAATTTATACACCATATAATATTTATATTATATGGTATATATTATATGATATATATACAACTAGATACACCAATTCAATAATATTTTGTATATATATACAATATGATTTAAATATTAAACAGAATGTAGGAATAGATTAGTATACATGTTGGATACTTGAAGCGGAATACTACGCCCATGGCTATAATATATATTATCATTGAATACAATATATAAAAGTTTTATATCCAACTACATTTTAAAAGAACTGTTATGGTACCCCCGTTTATATACAATATGTGTATTATATTTGCTATTATTTTTATAAGTTCTATAAACATAAACACGTGAATAAACAAGCCAAGCTTACAATTAAAGTAAATACAAAAAACCTTATAAAAATAAAAAAAAAATTGAAAAAACTATAAATAGAAAATAGAAAAACTTCAATAGTAAATATTTTATCTAATAACTTTATTTTTGTGTATCTTTTCTTCTGCTGATGCCACTTTGCGCTGCAATAAAATTAGATTTATGCTTAAATGATGCACACCAGCGGGCAGATACTATACATTTATGAAATATGAAATTTATATCAGTGCGTACTTTGAATTTATACACAGCACAGATACAAAACGATATCAGAACTCATACTATATGCGTTTATATAACGTATTGCAATTCACCTATAAATATAAAACTGAATATCGCGAATTAAGCACAATTATTATTTATGCGATTTTCACTTTCGATTTATGGAACCAATAAATGTGCGAATTATAGTAAAAGATCAACAGTACAGAGTATTGATATGCATAGTTTATAATAAAACATAGGGCTGAAATTAATCTATTAATATTTTTTTAATAATTTCAGTAAAGTGAAGATAAAATATTATTTTAAAAAATTATATGGTTATTAAATTTTTTAAAATTATTAATGTGCAGCAGTCCCACATATAAGAGGTATTAAGACTTGTATAAGCCCGGAACCTCTTGTATGGGGCTCAATGAGGTTCAAAAGAACTTTATTGTATTATTAGTATCAATTAAACGACCCCAAAATTAGTGCCATTTTTGGCACTACCAAGCAGAAAATATTGCAGTGCCTCCTACTAACTATATAGATTCATAAAAAAATATTAAAATAAAAAATTTAAACACTGAAAAAAGAAATGAAATTATAGTTTAAGTGTGCAATTGAAATTAAAAAGCTTAACTAAAGAACTATTTGTTGACTTGGATCTGCCGCTCTTTATTTTTATCGCCATAGGCCTTCATCCAATCGACCTCACGCCTAACACCAATACTGCATACAAACTCTCAGCGAAACAGATAAAGTGTTACATCAAAGGACTATATATAATAACATAGTAATGAAAAACATAGTACGAAATAATAGATTCACTCAAGTATTTTTTTTTTTTTGGTTTTTAAATTGTTCTTATTTAATAACGTTATAACGGATATAAATGGAACATTTTGGTTTATTGAATAAAAGCATAAAGAAGTGTGTTGTCTAAACAAATGAGGACGTATATTTGGTGTTTTCATTCATACTCTTGACTCCTTAGTTATCCGAAGTTGCGTCTGTGGAATCTGGACAGCTGGAATCAGAAATAATAAGATGTGATTTGTCATTTAAGAATACAATATTATTATCAGTTTATAAGAAACCGTAAAAACAAATAAATGTAATGTTTATTAGAATTAAAAGTTTAGAATGAACAAAGAACCCTTTCATGAGTATCTGACCATTCTAGTACAACACTGAATAAATAGGCAATTACTTCAAAAATCAAAAATAACCTGTTACAATACAGTACCTTGTGAATTACAACCTCTTCTGGGCTATTCTTAATCTGTTGGTAATTAACTATTTTTGATTGGACCTATTCTAAACCAAATGGTACAGAGTAAACACACGGTGACTGACAACAGTGCAATTTATTGCAAATTATTAATTGGTGAAATTAATGATCAAAAGAAAGAATTTTAGAAAGAATAAGTTTACTTATATACTATGTCACTACGTGGTACTTGCCGGAAGGCATAAATATAGGTTTCCATTATTTGACTGTTTCTCCAATATTATTTATATAGAAATAGAAGCAATTAACTAGTTTTTTTAAAATGAATAAGTAGTTCCTCAAAACTCAAAATCATTTTACCTTCACTGAATAGTCAGCGTGTACTTTAAAGCTATGGTATTACAAAAGTGTCGTCCACGTATACGTATATTCAGGATTTGCTTTAAGCCCGATGTGATTATGATGCCTGTTTAAACTATCCTATCGTATAAACTATTGTAAATTTTTGATACTCATTAACACATTCACTAAGCAATTTCAAATTTTATTATAGAAATAATAATAAATAAAATAATTTGAATTATATTATTTGCAAAAAGTTAATATAAGTGCAATAATACTCACTTTAATACAAACATATTGATTTTGGAACAAGCATATTGATTTTCATCTATGAAATTAATATTTTACTATATATCAATAATCATCAATATAGACTGTTATAGACTTACCATAGAATAAGCAAGCAAATTGCAATAAATAGGAGAACTTCTCAGAATGTAAACGACAAAGTATATTCACATACGGAAATTATGTCCTTGTGCAAAGAGTATAATACCCCAGTTTCCTTGCCCCCGATGAAAATCATGCAGCTGAAAATAATAAAATATTTTATATATATAATATAAGTAATATATAAAAATAATTATAATGTAGTAATTCTCGAGAGTGCAATACATTTTGTTCAATTTCTTTCAACTTACTCCATTGGTCGAAATTTGGTGGTTTTATGGTTTAACTGTCCGATTCCTTACACATTCACAAGAGTTTCATTTTTCGGAGAAAGTATGGTACTAAGAAAATAAAAAGATTTATTAAATATTATGAATTAAATAATTTCAATCCTTTTAATAATAATTAAATAATTGGTTTGACAATTTTCTGAATAAAGATAATATGTTTACATGGAGAATGAATTTAAAAATAATCGTGGGATTTAGGATGATATTTGTGCTATTTCTGAAAGAGTATTCGTTATTTTATATTAATCTTAGTCAAGTTTCCATTTTATCTATATAAAATCTTTTCTGATGTCTACTTTGCAGTTGTTTTACCCAGTCACACTTTTAATAAATGAATTAAAACAGTACGTGAGAGAACGAGACAGCAACTATTCAGATGTCAAGACATTTTAAAAATATTTTAGATAGCTTTGGAAGGAATTTTTCACTACAATTATCGAACTTATTAATTTTAATAGAGAAAATAGTTATTTTTGAATTACTCACTAATACGAATAGCGGCGATCATGCCAATAAATAGATATATTTTCTTTTTTACTTCCTCACTTGCTTCCTTTTTTACTTTTTCTCGGAACTCGTCCATATTATTGTCTGCGTACCGAAACATGATAACAAAGTTTTAACGACAAATTTGTGTCAGAAATCGAAACTTTGATATAAATTTATTTCCTCATCTGTTTTTACATTGCCAGAAAAATTTGATTTTGTTGACATACTATGATTTTTTTTAAGTTAGTAATATATAGACGATATAGAATAAAGAGGATGACATAGATATAGTTTTAGTTATATTAATTTATGTAAGATCGTGATTCTGATGATGACTCTTAAGGAGAGTCGAAATATAGAATATAATAATATTAAACGTTGAATTACTAACAACGGGCTATCTGGAGCGTCTACTTGTTATGGGTGATTTTCATGTAAAAACTTTCAACTATAAATCTCGATATCAAAAGAATTAAGTTATATTGAAATGGAGGTTATTTCACTTAAAACTGTAGTCAAATCGAAATGCTCCAAAATTGGCATTGTGAAACCTTTTACCATTATCATGCATCATTTTTTAAGACTGCCCGTTAAAAGATCTGACTTACAGCTTTTTCAACGAAAATACATAAATTTTTTGTAATTAATAAGTATTTTTTTAATTATTATAAGTATAAATATATTATTTTCATAAATTAAAAAATGAAATATTGCTTATCTCTTTAATTTATATACAAAATCTTACCTTTCAAACGTAATGTTTAGGACATAGCTTCTGACACATCAAAAATTTTTCACCTCTCCATATAAAACATGATATATAAACTAAAACCTTTAAAGTAATTGAAATACAGATGAAACTCACTCATCCTACTTCAATTTGCTGAATGTTGGAATGTTGAATGTTCACTCATCCTACTTCTGCTGAATGTTGGTTTAATGTTGCTGAATGTTGGTTTAATAATTATTGGTTTCACTAACTTCTAATTACAAAATGAGAAATTAAACACAATAGGTGTCTTTCATTCATGTAGGATTGAGATATCGACTAGTCCCCACATAGCAAAAGAGTCAAATTAAAGGATCCTCTTCCAACGCAGTTGTTACAGCAATTGTGTTTGATGACGTCCTGTGTACTATTTATATGAATGAAGATAATTTGAAGAAATTATCATAATACTCTTAAGTCATGGACCTCACAGATAACATTTATTTCCTTGCTCCTACATCAGATACACATAGTTGATCTAAAATTTGTTGATATAGTTATATTCTAACACTTTATCAAATAATGAATAATACAATGTACACAGTAGACTGTAAATCTAAAGAAAAAATATGTTTCACTTAATTAATAGATAAGATTAATTACTTCTATATCCTTAGTAGCAACTCATTACTAAAAATCCTTAACAAAGTTGCCATATTTTATGATTAATAAGTAAATTTCACCGTAAAAAGAAACATATTTTTTCTTAAGTTTGTGAAATTTAAAATCAAAAGTATATATATATATTCAAACGATATTAAATATATTTCTCTCTTAAGTTTACAAACTTTGAAATCTACAGTATAAAAGATTTCATTTAGACGATAATTAATATTGAAGAGTATAAATATTTTCTTATGAAGTAGTATTTAATTATTAGTACTTACGATACTTATGATAATAAAAACCGTTGGATCTATATCTAAAAGGTCACAGTTTAATTTTATAATAAAATTATTATATATCAAAGTATCGTATTGCAGATGAAGACAATTCTTTAATAGGAGAAATCTTCTTAACAAATAGATATATTTTCAACTTCGTTGTATGTTTAGGGATCTTCTGTTTGACATCCACTTCTCACTGCTATAAATTATAAAACAAAATATAGTTATATGGAACTTAAATATATTTGTATATATACATAATTATTTATACATGTATTTATTTGAGTTCTATATAAAATCTATATAAAAATGAAAAATGATCCTATAGCATAAGTAAGAGATCCATTTTCAATATACAAAAATTCTAAAAAATCCTGTTCATAGAACGGAAATTCTAAAACAGAAAACGCTTATGGCGTTTTTGATGGTAAATCTGGATTCAATATAGATTTACTCTCGATCTGTCAAATTTTTTTGTGTAATCGTTTTTGAATGATCTAACATTTTTGTGGTTGTGTTAGTAGACATTTATATTTTTCACAAATACATATATTTAATCAAATCACAGTTTAACTGTCAAATCATATAAAACAGCTTTTAATTTCAGTGTTATCTTCTGACTGTGGCAAAATATCTGGACCATTATAAATTAATCTCGAGTGCTATACATTTTGCCCCAATAATAAGATTGCCCTAATGGTGCATTAAAGGATTATATCTAATGGAAATATTACCCCGATTTACCAATCGAAAACGCACTTAATAATACAAATCTATATATCTTAACCAAATCTATTTAATATATGTATATATATGTTGATAATAATAAAATATATATATATAATATTTATATATAATAATATAAATATACATGGAAATGTATCTGTACTATACATGATTCTATATGTATGATATATTTTGTTCAAACCACTCAATTTACCTGATATTTTCTGTAAAATTTTGAATTTTGAGGAAGGAACTTTTTGATGGCACTCAGCACTTTATGATCTCATTTTGTGCATTAAATATACCACTAAATGAAACAAAAATTTTTACCATATAAAATTAATTAACGCTTATCTAATTAAGTATTTCAAGTAAAAGGTGAAAATTAAGAATAAAATAGTTTGGATCAAAATTAAGATTTCTGAATATAAGGAGTAATAAATTTTTGAGTACTTACTGAAACGCATAGCGGCTATTGTTCCAACAAACATAAATACCCTTGGTCTATTATATCTACGAGCGACATCCAGAATTCCTTCAGAATCATTTTTAACATTAGACATATTTGCCAAATTTTGGAGTGAAGATGTATACGGAATTTAATTTTGATACATTGAATTATAAAATTTTTATTACAGATATATGAATGTATATTCAAAAAGATTTGATTTCTACCGACATGCTTTCTATGTTTTGTCGGTGAATAAATTTAGAACTCTATTTCAATGTTATATTTTATAAATAGTAAAATTATAACTAATTTTTCCAACATATATTGGTATTATTTATAGTATAAGTAATTTATCGGCAGTTACTGTAAGAACAATTACATCATTGGTCACCACTAGTTGTTGTTCTTGTTGTGGTCGACGTCTTAATTAATTGATTTCGACGTCTTAATTATCAAGAGTATAATTTTCCATCTGTCCTCAACACCCTATTAGGCCCAGATTTTCAAAATGATTCCGGTTTTCATTCTAAACGAATCTTCAATTGGATTATTTGTGTTTATGGAAGAATTTATTTGTAAATACTTACCTCAAGAAAAAATGAAAAACTGATTTGTTGGTACCCATCTGCAAATATTTCATTAGAAAAACTCAAAGAAAGTCTTTAAGTGCAAACGAGCTAAAATTTGTATTTGATATTTGGATTTAAGCTAAAAAGTCCGAGACTGACATGCTAAGGTACTACGATTGCACTGAAAACATTGCTTTATTTGACTCTCATTACATTATAAGTTTTATCAATAGCCTTAATTTGTCCTGGTTAACATAGAGAATTCTCTCCTGGGATAGATCTTATAGGTCGCAGTGTATTATTGTTTCTTTTAATATTAATAATAGTAAAACGAATATAGGGGCAATATATCTTTAGGAAAAGCAGGCAAGTCTTTTAAGGACAACAATCAAAACAGGGTACTACTCTTAATGAGGGATTGTGTACGTGGAAAAAGCTATAGGAAGCTATAAGAATATATGTCTATATTTAAGAATATATAGATTAGGTAAGGTTTTTCTAACCAGAAGCTATGCTTACCAAACAGTCTTTACGTCGCTAGCGATACCGGATAATGTTAAGTCTTTATATAAATTTTGTAGTAAATAAATTCACACATATATAAAGTGCTTAAAGCTATTTTCTTGAGATACAGTCACCAAGCATTTTAATAAAAAATTTCTTAACATAGTTTTAGCCCAGATCTTAGAATTTGAATTCAGTTTATATGTGTGGTAATTCCATAACATACGTATCAGTTCCATCAGAACTGTCAATAATGTAAAGAATAATATATATTTTAATTATAGTTAATATATGCTTAATTTTATCTTATAGTTTTTTAAATTTATTTAAAAATCTAAAAGCATCTATTGAACCTAGGTTTTACAAAAGATCTAGCTGCAGATTTATCTACGAAGAAGAGGAAACAATAGAACACATTCTGTGTCACTGTGATAGTCTCACTAGACTCACATTTCGGTACTTATCAACTGGCTATCTGCTTATAACGGAATTAGGCAACATATCTCCAAAGGACTTCATAGCGTTTTTAACTGCTTCTCATCTATGGAACTACAGTGGACTTGTCATAATAAACCCTCAAAGTATGCAGTGACATGGTGACAAGTTCCCAAACCGTTTAAAATCTAATCTATTCTAAACCAATAAAAATGAATATCTCTCCCTCTAATTTGATAGCTACTTATTTTAAACGGATATTTAAAAGCAAAAGGGACATTAAATACCCTTTAGTAAACTAATTTCTTCTAAAACCCCTCCATATCTTAAACTAATAATTATGTTAATGAAGCCACCAACTTTCAAGTTTTCCCACTGATACGCTCATAACAAAGCCAACGCCTTTCCGCCACTTCGTCTATTCGCTATTCGCTCATAATTTGTAACCCAAAACTGCTTAAGCAATTTTTCTACTTTATTCTTAAACAAATTAAATAAGTTTTATTATGTTCTTAAAGAAACATTTCCTAATTAAAAATTCACATCACTTGTAGCTGTTAGTTAGAGTTCCTTGCTCATTTTTACTTCATCATCCTTTTCTCCACATACTTTTTCCTTATTCGTCTGAGTTCATTTATTTTCTGCGAAGTCTGTAACTCTTTCAACAATTTCTGTGGGCATTAAATTGCCTCCAGCTAAAGGTGCTTCATTACCAAGTTTTTCTTAAAGTTTTAATTTTTCCCTCATCGCAAAGATGCGGTTTGTTAGGTATTTTAATATTTCAGCCATTTACTTCAACTGTAACGCAATCAGTTGGAAAAATTAAAATTTTTAAATACAAGTTTTTTATTTGTTTGGATTTTATTCCGACTGTACTCCTCTTTGAAGAGCACAGCCCAAACAATGCCAAAAATTACTTATAGTAAATAATTTGTAGTAAAAATAATGAAGAAATATACGAGGGCTGTTTGATAAGTCCGTGACTTTTTGAATTTCCCGCGCAGTTACTCCAAATGCGACAGTGCTGCCGTCAGCTGTAATCTACCAGTGGGTAACTTTCTGATTTTGAGCAAGCTACGTCGTTCAGTTGGTGTTTGATAGCCGTTCAAAGCAGACAACCTCGAGAATTTTTACGAAAATAGAAAAAAGAGAATTTTGTGTGCTGACTAAGCATTGCTGGCTAAAATCCACAAATTAGGATACGAACTGTTACCCTATCTAGCATATTCTCCAGATTTAGCCCCCTGCGCTTGTTTTCTGTTTCCAAACCTAAAGAAATGGCTGGGCGGTAAGAGATTTGAGATTTGAGAGATTTGAATGAAGAAGTCATTACCGAAACAAACGCGTGTTTTGAGACCTATTATTTGGAGGGAATAAGAAAATTAGAAAAACGCTGAACTAAATGTATCGAGCTAAAAGGTGGTTATGTAGAAAAATAAAATTTTTATTTACCGAAAAAAAATTGTTTTATTCAAACAGTCATTGAATCACTTATCAAACCGCCCTCGTATACGCATGTATATATATTTTGCTATTTAATATGCAAACATTATTTTGTAAAGAAAATTGGATGACGAAATGTAGTAAATAAAATAAATAATAAGATTTTAGGCCTCTGGATACAAATATTTTATTAAACTTAATATTTCTGATTTAATACTTTCTACATCCAATAGATTAAAGTTCCAAGAAAAAGTAACCTAGTCTTATCATTTTAATCTTTTCTATATACATATATAAATATTAGCATTTTATTTTTCTTGCTTAGAATATTAATAATTCAAATTAATTATATTTCACTTAGTATTCCTTAGCCTAAGAAAGTTTTTACTTTCTTTACATAATTTAAAAAAAAAAAATGAAAAAGTACTTAACTGAAGGGAAGTACAGTGAACTAGAAAATATAATTATATATGTATACATAGACACAGTAGTAGCAAAACACACTACAAGAAACTGGTAAGAATAATCTGTCATCAAAGCATATAATATTCTGTCATCAAAGTAAATATATTAACAATGACTAATGACTCTGGCTTCCACATTATTTAGAGTATTATAACTTCATTATCTAATTATTTACGAATAATTAAATATAGTAACAATTACAAGACCACTGATGATTGGTATATGGCAATACTCAATTAATTAATAAATAATAAATTGTTGTTGTTGTGATTTACTACTGTTTAAAATATGTCTCTATCAAAAGAATTGTTTCTACAAAGAAACATGGGTTACTTGTCTAATGAGTACTGACTTTGAGCCTCAAACTTGGCAGGGTTTAAGTTGAACCCTTGATGCTAGCAGCCTTAAAAAGGTATTTACGAATAATTAAATATATTCAATATGATATAATATAAATATTGTAATTATAATCATTTGTAATTTCTTATAATAATTATACAACAGGTAAAATATGACCTGTTGTCTTTACTAAATCCAGATCCAAGCACTTCTATAATTTGCTTAACGATATATCCAATATTGATATTTTCCAATTACTTACATTCATGTCTTCCAAGTTTTAATGTAACCAGTTATTCACTGATGATAATAAATAATATAGAATCGAATGTGTTTTCTCGGGATGGATTCTATTTTTCTACTATTTTATCTACCTGTCTGCCTAACAAGAAAGGGTCGCACACTCAGAGTTTAAAATTTGATTCACGGAATAATGTCTTGGTAATATCTTGAATTATGTGAATGTTATTAATTTTATTGTCGGTTTAGTAAAAAAATGTTTTGCTATGTGATTTAAAAAAAATTATACTTAAGAAATGTGCGAGTATTTGTCTGCTTAAAAGGTGACTACATCCCTAAATATGCCTTAGATAAGTTAGGCTTTCCATCATTAAACTTTAAAACGGATGTTGAAAAATCAACTTGCTTTATTCTGCTCTTTTCAAACAAAAATTTTAGCAATTGGATGTTGTTATACGTGTCCATATAATATCTAGAACAACAAATCACCATTTTTTGCGATAGGTGGAAAGCATAAAAAGCCACTATTTGAGTTTTGAATCTGTTGATACCACCTCTTAAGGATGAATTGTCAGGAACTTAGCCATCAGACTATAAAAGAGTTCCGACTGAAATCGTATACAAGTAAACAGGAGATGAAACAAAAAGTTTAGTATATTACTTTTTAAACTTAAATAAGCTAGAAATCTCAGATGAAGCTAAAATTTATATAAATTTATTTTTATATATTAATTATAATTAATTATAAATAGATTAATTTTTATAAATCTATTTAAATTTATCTAAAGCTTATATAAATTAGCGTACAGAGCCAAAATCTTAGAATATACATAAAGAATATTCTGTGGTGCTGCGTATCTTGTCACATAATAATAGTAATAACAAAAATAATTAGTACGGGTAGAATTTTGGTATTTAAGACCCTACTTATTTCATGATTACATCAAATCATTTCATGATACCTATTTGATGATTACATCAGATCAATATCCAAAGTACGATAACAATGACTGACTACAGTAGCTAGAAATCTCATACAACTTAATTAAAGTCAACTGGAAATATATTCCATATAACTTATTATTAATAGTAATTAAATAATTAATGCTTAAATATTAATAATAATTATTGGTTTAATAATAATGATTGGTTTAATAATAAATATTGGTTTAATAATAATTATTGGTTT